GGGCTACGCCGCGCGCTGGCGCTGGCCGACTCGCTGGCGGACCTCGGGGCCGCGACGCCCGCCGAGCACGCGGGGCGGGTGGCGGACGCGGGACGGGAGATCGAGCGCCGCAAGGGGTGGCTGGCGCGCGGGTTCGGTGCCGCGGAGCGGGCGCGCGAGGTCGCGGACCAGGTCGCGGTCGGGGTGCGGCGGCGGCGCATCGCGGCCCTCGGGGGGATGGCGACGGCGGACCTCGCGTGGCTGCGGCAGCTGTGCCTGCTCGCGAGGGGCGGGTACAAGCGCCGTCTCGCGGCGGGCGCCGCGGCGGGGAGGGGCACCGCGGCGGCGGGCGGCACGGGCGCGGCGGAGGCGCGGTCCCTGTCCGACCCGGACTATCTCGACAGGTGTACTGCGCTTGAAGAGTTTGTGCTCCGGCGGGGCGGGGCGGCGGTGTGGGCCTTTGCGGCGGGGGACGTGGGAACGGAAGAAGGGGAGGAGGAGGAGGAGAACAAGCAGTGGGCCGAGTGGGCGGAGGGGGAGGTCTGGTCGGTGCTGGGCCAGATGCGGGCGTTTGAGGCGGGCGGGGTGGGCGCGGACGGGGGCTTCCGCGAGGTGGACGAGATGCCGGGCCTCAAGATGACGCTGGAGACGGAGCTCAGGGGCCGGGCGGTGGCGGCCGAGAGGGAGGCGATCCGGCAGCGGAGGAGGCGGGAATACCGAGCGAAAGCTCTGCTGGAGAAGGGAAAGGCGGGCGAGGGCGGCAGTGACGGCAGCAGCGAGGGGGTGGAGGACGCGAGGGCCGAGCTGGAGTGGGTTGAGGACCTGGACCCGGAGATCCGGGACCTGGAGGACGAGTTCGGCCTCAAGGCTCACATTGTGACGATCAACATGGTCGCCAGGATCATCGATAGGGAGATTGGTGTGCTACCGGAGGCGGAGCTGGACGAGCACGAGACCTCAGCTCAGGATTCTTCTTGAGAGAAAAGGGGGCCAGCAGTGGGTGGAGTGGCTGCCAGGGACCGGAGTTGGAACTCCGCGGTATGTGCAGATCGGGTTATGAGACAAATGAGTTCTGGGTGACGAGAGGCTCTTGGCATTCGATAGCGTTGAGTGTATGTCTCTTTTTCTTTTCTTCTTCTTCTTTTATGGTTATCGTCTCTGCACACCAAGCCCTGTCTGCGGTCATATGGCGGCGGTTCATAGACGGAACGGGTCGCGTGCCCACATACTCCATTTGGGTTGTCTATTTTTTTTTTTTTTTTGCTTTTTATTGGGATCTGAAACAGGACTGGGCAGGGGAGAAGCTGCATGTCTCGGTGGCACGGTGTTTTCGTGGTGCATTTGGGTGCAGGTACAGGCGATAGATATTCCGTAGATCACTCTTCCGTACGACCTTAAATCAGCCTCGTGTCTGACCACGTACACCAGGCTCAGACTGATCATTCCCTTTTATATGATGTGCCGTCTTGGCATCAGTAGCTAGCTGGACGGATCACGGATGGAGGGAGGTCCAATCTCTCAAGATGGATGCAAGTCTTGTTCGAATTACTACTCGTGAGGTAATAATGGCAATGTAAGCCGATACAGAATCGTTCAAGTGATGGAGAGAAAAGCCGGCTCCCTTTCCACACTAGCGTAAAGAAGTAAAAAAAAGAAAAGAAGAAGAAGAAGAAGGAAATGCCATCCAAGATGAGTTGATATCATGAAACTCCCAAAACTCCTCTCCAGAATGCTTTGGCCCAACCAAGGCCCTTCTCCTCCCCCGTCCACCCATACTAGAGAAACCACCCAGAGCACTAGACCTCCCCCTTGACGGCGTCACCCAGGGGCTCCTCCGACATCTCGGAGTACTGCGAGTGCGTGTGCGTGTGCCCGTACAGCTTGATCTTGCCGCGCTTGCTGTGCAGCCGCTTGTGCATGGCGGCGGCGCCGTGCTCGTGGCTGCCGGCCGCCCGCTCGACGGCGACGGCCCTCTTGACGGCGTCCATGTGCACCGCCGCCGCTGCGGAGGCGGCGCCGATGCGGCGGTCCCGCGCGGCGACGGCGGCGATGCCCTCGGGCCGCGAGTGCGAGGTCTCGTGCACCAGGGTGCGCATGTGCAGGTGGTTGTGCGCCGACCTGAAGGGCGCGGCGGCGGACTCCTGGGCCAGCAGGAGGACCGCGAGCGGCGAGAGCAGGGTCGTCAACTTGACCATTGTGTTTCTTTGTGTGCGTGTGTGTGTGTGTGTAGAGTAGGAAGTCTGTCGAGACAGACGTGCTGTGTTTGAGAGTGTTTGCAGGACGATGATATCTTGCTTTTTGTTGTAAGCCGGACCTTGTGTGGGTAGGTTAGGTCAGGTTCAGCTCGTAGGAGTCGTCCTTGTTGCTCTAGCAGGCTTGATATAACGGAGCGAGTTCGTCGAGGACATGCCAGAGGGAGGAGGGAAGGGGAGGTCGGACGACCTGGCCATCCTTTTTAATATGTCCCGTCCCCTCCCCCAAGGGCGTACGCAGGGCCGGTGGTCACACAGGACGAGGGAAAGATTGCCCCTCCATGAATGAGCAAGCAGCCGAGGGCCCAAGAGACAAGAGACAAGACCCTTGCCAGAATCCGGCTGGAATGTGTTTGCCGCCGTGTGGAATGCGGCTGTCAACAGTTCAAGGCTGCACCAGCAACGGGACGAATCACCGGTCTCAGAGCAGAGCTAGGCCCGGGGCCAGACAGGCCACCTACGTAGGTACCGATGGTACCGGTGGCACCCCATCCCATCCTGCGGCCCTTCCCTTCCCTTTCTTTGCCTTTGCCCACTTGGGTAGGTATCCGGGCGGGAGATGAAACCAAGACGATGGTGCTACCCAGCCTCCTGTGCTGTTTTGGTGTCACGACGCCACATTGAGGAATTCCATTCCAGCGCTGGGCGCTGCTGGCCCGGGCCCCCCCGCTTCGCATCTCTCCCACACTCTCCCTCTGCGGGCCCTCCTCGCGGGGAGTGGTGGAACGCACGCTGCCAATAAATTGCTGCACACCATTGGCAATGGCATACCTTTTCGCCTCGAGGAATCGAGTGCCAAGTGATCGCCAGGCCCCGGTGGTTCTCGACGATCGCATGACGGCTTCTTATATGCCGGAAGCCACGGCTGGCAGATGGGGAGATGGCTGGGTAGTACACACGCCGAGGGCTCACCTCACGACGCCCGACCCCGTCGAGGCGTGTGAGGTCCCAGTTGACAATCGGCGACATGGGCACATGAGCAGGGACATCTATGGATGAGGTCAGAGGCGCTGGGGAGGCGGGAGGCGTGATCGGTTTCAAGGCGGCCGAACGATTGCGGTGTCGATGCTGACGTGGGAGGCACCGAGCCCAGGTGCAAAGGGATGTAAGCTGAGGGAGGACTGGCACCTCTGCTTCAATAACACTGCCGGTCTAAAAAGCCCTGTCTTGCAAGCTAGGGGATGCTTAATCCTGGCAGTAGTTATGTCCACGTGTGATTCAATCAAGCCATTACCCCGTAGGTATTCTCACAGCAATTACATTACTTTTCCAAGGTTGTCTGTTCTGGAAAGGCACCTTAGCAAATACCTGCCGTCATGTAAGCTGGCGAGAAGCGCCCATTGCCCATGTTCTGATCGTAATCAGAATCCGATACGGCCTATCCTGGAATTTTTAAATTTTTTACTCTTCAGGCAATCTGTATCATGTCCATTTTCCCTGTTATTGCACTGAACAACATCGAAGAGGATGGATAAGACTGGAACATTCGCTCAGTGGGTGGACGCACGTCGCACTAGCAGCAGCACGGGGTGTAAGCAGGTCGCAGACCAAAAACATTGACTTATCATGTCTTGCAAATAGAGAGTCAACAGTCATCTTGGCAACCCCGGCGCACACAGGCCCTCGGACCGCTTGAACGAGTCTACGTGCATCAAACACCAGGCGAACATGTTCGGCTACTTCCGCCCGCCCACGACGTGCACCCCGGACCAGAAGCGCAAGTTCAACGTGCCCGACGCCCACGACGGCCACGAGAGCCGCGGCGACTCCTCCGGGACGACGGCGCAGCAGCAGCAGCAGCAGCAGCACTACTCGCGGCGCCCGTCCCTCTTCCCGCTCGAGGGCGGCTGCGCCTGCGGGCGGGTGCGGTACCGCCTCGAGCGCCCGCCCCTCATCGTGCACTGCTGCCACTGCACGGCCTGCCAGCGCGAGACGGGCTCGGCCTTTGCCGTCAACGCCATGACCGAGCGGCGCTACCTCACGCGCCTGGGCCCGGCCTCGGTCCCAGCGGCAACAGCGGCAGGGCAGGCTCCTCCCCGCGCCTCCGGCGACGACGACGACGACGACGACGACGGCCTGCGCAGCTACGCCGTGCCCGCGCCGTCCGGCGGAGGGACCACCGCCGTGCGCCAGGGCTGCGCGTCGTGCGGGGTGGGCCTGTTTGGATACCACGACGGCCACCACCGCGGGACGGCGCCGGACGACGTCGTCGTCGCGTTTGTCCGCGTGGGCACGCTGGACCTTCCGGGCCGCGAGGCGCTCGCGCCCGACGCGCACGTGTGGACGCGGAGCAGGCTCGACTTTGTGCAGGTCGGCGGCGACGGCCGGCCGCAGTACGACGAGTTCTACGAGGACTGGCGGGAGGTGTTCCGGCCCGACAGCGTCGAGAGGTTCGAGGCGCTGGACGAGGCGGTCCGGGGCCGCGCCGGGAGCGCTATGAGGGCTGCTGCTGCTGCTGCTGCTGCTCCTGCGTCGACGTCGTCATCAGCTGGGGGCGGAGCAGCGGGTCGGGGTTGCCGCTGAGGGTAGAGTCATTCCCATGCTGCCGCCGGTTCGACAGCTTGTATGATGTGAGGCTGCAGTGTCGGTGGCGGTTTTATCACGGACGGGTGAGGCAGAAAGGGGTCCAGCAGAGACTCGACGCTTACTCTGCAGTGCCGGGGTCGATTCTTTCACGGAGAGGTTGAAGTAGCAAGTGATGGTCAGATTAGTTGACGGGCTGTTAGCAGAAGTACTTGATATCCATCATGTCCAATCGGTCTTTGGTGGTGGGATAAACCTTCCAAGCTCCAGAGCAAGGACATGCATTGTGGACATCGAGGTATCAGTACCCCGAGTCTCGATCGATGCCAGTGAGCAGAATACCAATATCATAACAGTTACCTAGTTCCCCTGATGGTTCCCAATTGACCATAAAGCGCTACCTTGTACAAAAAGAGCATGTGGCTTATACTCACAAATGCTCTATAACGTATAACTAATTAAATAACCCAACATGCTAGTTCAAATTTTGCATCAGTATATGAGGCATGCTACAACAGCATAATAAACTTGATGTCAAAAGCCTAAAGAAGGCTGGACATCACACTGTATGCATGGGATCAACCAGAACCATGTCTCTTGTAGATAGCAAAGTCTATACCGCAACTGTATTTCCAGCCCTTACAATCACCAAGTGTGTTAAAACAAGGATATTGCGTTGTTGTGTTACTCCGTTCGTTGTATTGTCGAAACAGTGTCGTCATACTCGATTGTCTCTTCAAAAAGGCCAGACTCAAGATCATCATTCTATAGATGCAATTGCACATGTGGAACTTGCATTTCGTTGTTTATGGTCTTGTATTTGATCCAGGAGGTTTCCTTTCACATCAAATGAGCAATATGATAGGGTTTCAGTGGTTGTGTGAAGTATGTGCAAAATATGTGCGCAGAGGGATTTAGCTTCCTTCTCTTTGGATGCTTGATACCTCGGGCAGAACCCGTGCCCATAAAAGTCGTCTGCCGGCTCAAGGGGATGGTGCTTTCGGTCGCTTTGCAGCTCCAAAAGTGATCCATGTGAGCGACTCCGGGAGACGGAAACCTGATGTTCGAGCAGGATGCTGGAAAGAGTCGCGCTCGAATGAAAACTCGAAATGGACAAGGTGCGTCCTACGTACTAATTCAGCACCGTTTATTCTTGATGAGACGGGCTTTCAAAACGTTCGCGAAATATCCCCCAAGGGAAGATTTGAGACAGTGTATCCATCCCCTTTCGAGTGACTTCCAATGCTACTGAGCCACTCAAACATATCCCTGGCTTTTAAGGTGGCAAAAACTGGCACCTTGTCATAACACCCTTTAAAAGATTTTTGGGATAAAGCTTATTAAAAGAGATCGAGCTTCCCTAGCCTTGATCTGTCCCTATTAAAGAACAACTAGGATAGCGAATAATCCCGAGCAGCGTCTGTCCGAGGAGGGCGGGCAATCGAGAGCAGCGAATATCCGAGAACAACGTATGTCCGAGAAGGGTGACGAATCAAGAACGGTGGGAATCGAGAGCCGCGAATTATTGAGTAGCGAATTATCGAGAGCAACACATACGAGCCCTGTTCTTGGTGGCTTGTTGTTTCCAATTGACTTCTTCTCTGCATCTCCTACACTCCATGTAACAAAGAGTCGATCGTAAACTCTTCCGTGTGAGGTGGGAACTGTGTAGCCGAGTTCCTTCTCCCCGTTGTCTTCACCATTGGACCTGATATAGATGAGCACGGCTCCAACACCAAGGGTTGCCCGAGAAGAATTCCTTGACAACAATAGTGTCTACGACGATAACACGCCCGGTTCATCGAATGACCAAGTCAAACATCGACGAGAGGACTCTACTCAGTACGCGATGCTCCAAGCTGATAGCTCAACAAAGAAATTATCAGGCACAAGGTGAGAACAACAGGGCATAAGAAGCGGTGACCACGGTGACACTCACTGCCCAGCAAAAATGCATCTTATTCCTAAATTGCTTCACCTTGTTGTGAACGATATAATAAACCGGGGTTCACGATCACAAGCCCGCTGAAGAATAGTAAATATTCATGAGAATAGATTTAAAAAGGTTGCGCTAGACTTACACCTTGTAGCGGATCATCACGCACTTCACTGTGTTCACTCGCACCGTTCATTAATCAATAAGTTTTCAATCTCTTCGCCTCGTGCAAAATACCAATTGCTTCATTTAACTCTGTCTAAAAGAACGCCGTCTTCAGAATAACATTTGGACAGTTGACTGTGGGGATATCCGAGGCAGAAGTCCGCAAGCCTGCGGTGGACTTACACCGGAGGAGGCGAATTCGCCAATGTACGCTCCTGATCGGCGCAAACGGTGTCCTCGCCCTGGCTCGACTCCAATAAGGACTGAATCTTGGACCAAAATTGAGACTCAATATTGTCCTTGAGCCACTTTGCGTCCTCTGGATGCGTCGCTAAGAACTGGATATTGTGATCTGTGATTTGCATATTGCAACGAAGTTTTGACCGAATAATCTGGCGATGGGTTACTGCATCCCACTGTCCTGATGTCTTGCTTTGCAAGCGTTGAATTGGTCGCCTCGAGAATGGATATTTTCTCAATTTAGATTGTATTTGAGTAGGTAGCGCTTGTTCGACAGCAACACTACTTGGAGGTTAGTATTAGTAGACTGATAGCTTCATAGTACTATAGGGTTCTTCTGACAGAGACTTCCCCGTCCACTTGTACCATAGAACTGGCGGATCTTCAGAAGACTCGCTATCGCCATGATCGACAAGGAAATAACAGTTACGGTTCTCGTATCCAAAGTGGTGGCCGTATACATTCCAACGATCCTGGTCCCAATCGAAATCGCGGTTCCAGTGATGCTGACATATAAGGTTTCGCATATACGTGACTCGTTCCTCATAATCATTTCCCGGCACAAGATTTGTGACTGTTTGCACCAGTATCCGTAGCGGTCTTGTCGATATTTGCCCTGGATCTTGTAACGATGCGTTTGGTTCTGCGCCGGATATCTCCATGGCGGCTTCTGATAGGCAGACGCGAGCTGCTGCGAGTTGAACCTCGTAGAGACTGTGCGAAAACGACCAGGCAACGTTCAGGCTGACAGGCAAAGGGAAGCTGGAAGCTAAGAGAGACTCGAGACGGCGAGCGCTCCAAAAAGGGCGAGTTACGACGCTGCTTGATATCGACTGGGGTGCTGGTAGGAAAAGAAAACGAGAGGGAACAGACGAAGAGAAACGCGGAGGCGCCTGATAAATTAGAGTAGCCGCCTGTGGTGGAGCAGCGGCATCGGATAGAAGCGCTTTGCATGAGCCTTGACCACCCAAAAATGCAATTAAGTGGGGGCATGGCACGGTTAGAGGCGCTTAGGCCCCAGATGCATAAGGAACGGCGGTTACGAAAAAGTTATGGAAAAGGTACATCAGGCATGCACAAAAACACGGAGTTGATGCTAAGCCATCATCAATTAAGCTAGACCCTTGATAAAGTAGCCTGTAGATTACTTACCCTATTACTCTCTACTGTAAGAACATAGGCTACAGGCCGGCGAAGGCTCGTCGACAGGATCGGGGCCAAGGATTAGATCCTCAACAATATCAAATTTGCCGATGTGTAGTTCATTGAGATCGTAGCATCTCCTAGGTTTGTCAGCTGTCAAGGCAGGATAACATCTTGACATTCTGTAGTCTTACTCTAGGGTTGCGAACAGTGATGGAGCCCGCGCCTCAAACAGAGAGTACATAAGAATGAGTCAGCAGTCCATATTCCCAATAATAACAAAGAACAGAAAGAGTCCGGCAAAAGAGGAGAAGGAGAATAGAGACGACAGGGAATTCTAGAACTGGTTCAGACAAAGATGTAAAGATGGGAGCAGAGGGAGCAGTGAAAATCAGCCTTTATCTCGACTCAGATCACGGCAGTAGGCAGATACAAAGAGCATCGGTTTGACTGTAAGGGATAGCCTGCCTGAATTATATGACAACCATAGGCTCGCGTGTTCAAGTATCAAATAATCCTCACAACAGCCTCCAGGACATTCTTTTCCAGCGAAACTCAAGACACTCCAGTTCCTTCCCTCCCAGAATCCAGCCTGATGCCATGTAGTCAGAGGCCTCGCCACGTGTCAATAAGACTTTGCTTAGTATTCAGGAAACCTTCACGCCCACAGAATCTTGTAGTAAAAGGTCAAACTCTGGTTGGATCTTTCTCATGAATTGATAATAATGAACTGACCAAGAAGAAACAGTTGGGATGCGTAAAGTTGTAAGGATTCTAGGTAGCGAAGCGCTGGCATCAAGAAACAGAATGACGGTTACAATCATTCTGTAAGTGTTGGCCGCTCTGGGATTCGCCAAAATCATCGCCGGCTTGTCGCGGATACGTGGCCTGCCCTTGAGTCCGCCTGGCGGCTGCCAAGTCTCTTACAAAGGTCACAAGAAGAAAATATTACATAGCCACTCTGAAGTATTCTGATTAAATTTTATCACTTAGTAGAGTCGATAACAAAAGCACTTGTATCAATTGAAGATAACAAACATAGCAACGATTAAATCAGCACGCTCTCCACGCGAGCGCACGTCCGCCCAGCCCAACTTGATAGAAATAAACATAACCTGAACCGACCAAAGAGATTCTCGAAACAGATCCATCACATGAGAATGCAATCATAAAGCCCAGATGTGTTTAATAATACCCAAAACAGTCGCAATCAACTTCTCGAGTTTCTTGCCTTAGTTGAACCTCTGTGCCTGATCCACGGCAGAAGGGGCAACTGCAATTCCTTTCGCCAAACCAATCTGCCGTAATGTTGCAACTGGCAGTATGCCTTCTTGCGGTGCATAGAGTTCGGCGGCCGTCACACTCCGAACAGTTAACCGTCACTTCGACCGTAAATGTCTTCAGGTAAGTACCATGTCCATGGCACCAGTCGCAGTTTGGGTCAGGTACCAATTCACCCTGAGAACCCCCGCTAGAGCCGTGAGATGACATAGTAAGATTCTGCTTCTCCTTCACG